AGGCTTAGCGTATCTGACAGACTCATTTGTGAAGTAGGATGTGCACAAGGGCAACAGTTCAACCTCACATTGGATGAGAGCAGTCCATGTACCAGAAACACCTGAATTCCACTAGTGTCCTGTCATAATTCAGGATTTTAAATTCTGGATTGTTGATGGTTTTTTAATTCAGCTGTCCATTCTTTTTGGCTGTGTATATATGGCTTCATCTCAGCATCCCCTTCTTCTCCACATCCCTCTATTAAATGCCAATCTACTATTGAGAGGCGTGAGCTTTCAGCTGCTGTTCCATTGCACAACAGAAGCCATCTGCCCTCTGCCTGTTAAGTTGCCTTCAAAGAAAAGGGCACTGTACCTTTTCCATATTGCAAAGGCCACTTCAGGGATGGGGCCATATTGTCCTGACCTCAGAAGATGTCTTTTGATAAAGCCATAACCACACTTGTTTTGGCAAGAATCAGTAGTCCTTTCTTTCGTGTTCTGTCTGTCCATTTTGTCCTGTTGATTCGAGGATACTTTGTTGTCCAGTGGCTAACTTTTGCCACAATGAAAGTTAACTCCATATGCAGTTTCTTCAATGCCCATATTTTCTCTGAAGTAGATTAGTACTGCCAGGAGCTGACATGTCTCAAAAAGAAAAAATTTTCTAAGTTATTAAAACATTTTAAATGCCATATTCTGTAGATCTCTGAAGGGTTTGAAGATGACCTGTCTAAAACATCTCTGCTCAATTTTTAAAACATATCTAATATGACTACAAGTTCTATTGTAATGTCTAACTACTAACTTTCATTTCTTTATATCCTAATAGTTGGTAATAATAACATTCAAGGATCAGAAAATTGCATTACATTGTTAAATGAATGGTATAAGTACAATTAGAAATATACATATAGCATTTTTAGCAATATCAATTTCAAATTTGTATACAATATAAAACAATCCAATCCTATGTAAAGTATTTAAAACTAGTAATTGTCTTTTTCTTTTCCTTCCTTCTTTCTTTTTTTTTAAAAACAAGAACCTTAAATCTAATCTCCTTTGCTTAGCTGTTTTCCTAACCCTTGACAACAACTTGTAACCAACCCCCCTAAACAATGAAAATTATCCCAGACCCAAAACCCATTAAAAGGACCAAAAAACCACCCACCCCACAATTGTTACTTAGACTTACCTGCTATAATCTAAAAGAGTATTTACCTGAAAACCCACTGGCCATGACACCAAGGAAATGAGGCTGATGATTTTAACTTTCCTTCTAATCCTTTGATTTCCATTCCTTAGTTATCCCAAATTTTGTTGCAGACATTCTGCTAAGATTGCTTCTTCATTTCATCCCCCATTCTCAGAAGAGAAACCAGCTTCTCCTCTAGCCTTCCTTCCCAACCATATACCTTTGTCTCAGCTGCCTACATTCAAGATCCTTTTTTTTTTTGTTGAAAACATTGACCACAATGTTCAGGGAATCAGATATTTTTGGCAGACCAACTTTTCCTTTCTCCTGTGTTCCAACTAAGCAGCCCACTTTTCTAAACCATCCTCATTTCCACATGTCAGCACCCCCATATCTAGAAACATTTTCAGTGCATTATGAGTAGTTAGTCCTGACAGGGTAGGGACTCGACAGCTCTCCCTAACAGGAAAACCAAAGCAATCACATACTCCTAACTGAAACAAAAAGAACCTTTCAAACAAAAACCAGGATATTGACAAGACTCTAGGCTGCCCTTCAAACCTAATGGCAAGGCCCTATTGTTGAAGAAAGTAACTAAATAATTGACTGGATATTGATGAGTCAAGATTGTGTCTACATAGAGTATTCGCTCCCTGTGTTTTAGCAACTTTTATACAGGAAGGAATCTGAACACTACCAAAAGAAAAACATAAACACCAAGCCAGCCACAAATGGTTGTCTAGAAAATGATCTCCTGCTACAATATAGTCTAGTGTAATAGTGGCAAAAAAGATTGTGTGAGTTATCATTCAATATTTGACTTGACTTAAGGCCTATTTTAAGAGATGAAACTCACAAGTGAAATTGCTTGAGTGACCATGAACCTGAGATTACATAGCTTTGGAAGCTAAGGTAAACTCAAATACTAATTTTCTTAAAAAATAAAAACCATAGAATGATTCCTAGTGACATTCTGATATACTCATTTGTCAGTGCCTTCCATAGTAACCTTAAGATACTCTTCTTCCTGCAGCAGAATGGAACCATAGAGACTCTCATCCAGCCATTATGTAGAGAACTAGAGACTTTGTAACACTCACATTTGAAAAAGATATCTCCATAAGAAACATCCCCTATGGGCTCCAGGATTTTGGAGAAAGAAGAGGAAGAAATAGTGCAAGAGAAAGAAGAAATAGAAGACAGCAGGAAAATAAGGTCCTCTAAGTTAACTTTGCATATCCCATATGAAATCAGAGGCAGAGGCAGCATGAACAGGTCCTGCCTGCAGGTCTTCTCCACATCCTCTGTTTATATATTATGTCTTCTAACTTACTGGTTTTATTGGATTCCCGAGTTTGCAAATGAATATGATACTGTTTCTTATGCTTTCTATTAGACTCTTTTCCTTCTGTTTGTTTTGTCCAAATTTGGTGTGATATTTTTCATTTCATCTTATTAGATTTTTTTTTTACTTTATCATTTTCACTTGGAAGACTGTTTTTGAAAATTTTTTTCTGTGCGTTTCTCATCCTGCATCCTGATACCAGCCATCTTCCTATAACTTCATATCTCCACTTGTAGGCTCCAAAAAAATGGCTGGGGAAATGCTGAATAGCACTGGTAGTATTGATGAGAATAAGCTGATAATCTGACTAACCCAGCTACCATCCAGGCCCAGAACCAGACCTGAGTTGGCACAACTCAACATCCACCTTATCTATGAATTGCTGGAGAATGTCAAGGGGCCAGACTTGCAGACCCAAAGCTGAATGATCTCCATGACACATGACAACAACAGGATATCTAATAAGAGTAGCACTGAGGGCCTACTATCAAGGGAATAGTAGAAGCCAGAGGCCATGAACCGGACCAATGATTCATTGCAATGAACACTTAAAAGTAAAGGTGCATGGACAAAGAGTATAATGAATGACTCACTGTGTCACGTTACAGCTTCTATGCCTGTTTGTTTTCTTTTTTTTTTTTTTTTTTTTTTTTGGTTTTTCGAGACAGGGTTTCTTTGTGTAGCTTTGCGCCTTTCCTGGAACTCACTTGGTAGCCCAGGCTGGCCTCGAACTCACAGAGATCCACCTGGCTCTGCCTCCCGAGTGCTGGGATTAAAGGCGTGCGCCACCACCACCTGGCAACCTGTTTGTTTTCTAAGGAAAAAATGAACAGCAGTTGATCCAAATAGTAGGGGACATGGGTAGGAATAGTGAGGAAGAAAGACAGGAGAGACAAGGAGTTATAGGGAAACCAAGAGATGGTCTACTGGTAGTAAAAATGTTCTGTTTGTCAAGCTGAAAATATTCTGCAGATTTACTGAGCAAAAATTGGAACAGATCTCACAACACTTACCATAGCTGGACACATGTCTCCACCCATGTAATTGTATGCTGAGGTCATCAGATATGGAAATCTCACATGTGGCTGATCATCAGATGAGGCAAGAAATGTCCATGATCTAACTAACCACAGACTGCTTATTAGTCACAAAGTGATCCTAGAGCTGGTTATGTAGCTTTGTTTGTAGAGTTCTTGTCTAGCATGCACTAACCCCTGGATTTGGTCTCTAGAGAAAAATATACTAGCCCAGGGTGGTCTATTCCTGTAATCCCTGCATTCCAGAGGTTTAAGTCAGGGGGACCAGAATTTTAACATAATAATTAACTATACAAAGAATTCCAGGGAAGCCTGGGTTATGTAAGAATGTGGACTTCAGGACACACACACACACACACACACACACACACACACAATAAGAGAGAGGGGGAGAAGGAGAGAGAGGGAAAAGGACAGAGGAGAAGGAGAAGAAGAAGAAGGAGAAGAAGAAGAAGAAGAAGAAGAAGAAGAAGAAGAAGAAGAAGAAGAAGAAGAAGAAGAAGAAGAAGAAGAGGAAGAGAGAGGGAGGGAGAGAGAGAGAGAGAGAGAGAGAGAGAGAGAGAGAGAGAGAGAGAGAGAGAGATCACATTCATTATAGAAACTGGCTAAAATGTCAATTTTATGTGTTTTTATAAGAATTGCTGAAAATGAGTGACCTCCACTCTTCCTTCTCCTCCAGGAACCCACTGGTTAATAGAGATTGTCTGTTTGATTCAGTCCAAGGGTGATCCCACATTTACCAAATCTTTGCCTCTCGCTGAGCGTTCACCATGGATAGAAATGAATGAATCGAGTAAAACACTAAGAAACAAGGAGGGACCACGTCTCATCACGTCCCATCTACCTGTCCAACTCTTCCCCATGTCTTTCTTCAGTTCCAAGGCCAAGGTAAGTGCTGAGGTATCTAGAACAATGTGATTATTGCTTTATAAACTCCTTCTATTTACTTACTATCTTTAAATTGTATTCTTACTGCATGTGTATGCATGTGTATGTCTGTGTTTGCCTGTCTGCTTGTACAGTACACACACACACACACACACACACACACACACACACACCAGTGCCTGCAGATGTCAGAAGAGAATGCTAGCACCCATAGGACTTCAGATATATATGATTTTGTGCCAAGTGATATTGGTGCTTGGAATTGGACCCATTTCTTCTGCAATAACAGCAAGTTATTGAATTTTCAAGTACTTGAAGTACTTGAATTTTCAAGTCTTAGCTGACATTGGATTACTGTACCTCAGGCGACACTGTTGAACAAAGACATGGAACAACCACATTTGTTCCCACTCTGGTTAATTGGCAGTGATGGAAACTAGTGGTAGCTAGAGTTTTCCTGGTCCTACCTGGTCCATGGTCAGGACAAATATCTCTCACCTGCCAGTGCCTCAGTCGCTCAGACCAGTATCTTAACATCTTCTCCTGGCAGCAGCTGGCAGCGTCTCTTCTGCCTCAGCCTTCCACTTCCCAGAATTCTCCTCTCTCCTTGTCCCGCCTATACTTCCTGCCTGGCTACTGGCCAATCAATGTTTTATTTATTAACCAATCAGAGCAACACATTTAACATACAGAACATCCCACAGCAGGTAGCACTTAGAAAACCACATTTTTAACACTAAGGAACTTTCATTTAATTATTATTATTTATTATGTGTGTGGTGTGTGTACATGTGTGCACATGAGTGCATATTTATTTCTGGGTATACATAAGTGCATATATGTGGTGTGTGTAAACCTCTGTGTGTAGTACATATATGTATGTGTAAGTGGAAAAGTTACATATCATTGACTGGGGGTACAGATACATTTGGTGTATGCGTGCTTATGTGTACTTGTGTGGTATATTTTTGTGTGCAAATATCTGTATGTGTTTCCTAGTCCCAATACTTTATTTTCTTCCTGTTTAATTCATTGATATTTTTGAAGCAGAGTCTCCTAGTCCAAGCTGGCGTTGAATTCACAATGTAGCTAATTCTGACCTAGAATTTATTATCCTTTTGCTTCCACCCACAGAGTTCTGATATTAGAGGTATCTGACACCAGACCCAACTTGCAAATGTTTATACTTGTATTGTAAACTAGATTCACCTCTACTTATATTACTACATAGATTCTGTCAACATCTTTAAATGTTCAATGTACCATATAGAGATGTGTGTGTATGTAAGTTTGGGTGTGTGTGCATGTGTGTGTAATTGCATGTGTGAGTGTTGGCATGTATGTGTGTGTATGATTTTGTGCATGTGTTTGTGTATGAATGTGTATATGTGTGTATGTGTGAACATTGTACATATTGTTTATGTATGCATGCGTGTATTTGTGTGAATGTGTTTGTGTGCACATCTATGAGTAAGCATTGTATTTATGTGCCTGTGTGTGCATGTATGTGTATACATGTATGCTTGTGTGTGAACATTATATGTGTGTACTGTGTACATGTGTATAAGTGTTTGCACTTATCTTTCTGTGTTTATATATAGGTATGTATGTATACATATATCAGTGGACACTATTCTGGATTCTATTCTTTTGTCTATCATGAGATTCCAGGTAATCAAGATAAGACCAAGAGTCTTGGTGGATGCTCTTTTGGTCAATGACTCATTTCACTGGCCCACAAATAACCAATTGACCAATTCATTAAGTGACTTATGTCCTATGGGTCAAATTACTCACATTGAAGTGTTTGTTGTAGGACTCAGCATGTTGAGCATAGATCATTACTTTACAGCTCTTTGGGTGTGTGAACATTACACACCTACTTAACAAAAATATTGTTAGTGACTTTTCATCATAAAAAAATGTAAAACTACTTTTACTTGACATAGAGAGATGACTCATAGGAAGTTAAGTGCATTCACTGTTGTTCTAGAGAACCTGAGTCCATTTTCAACACCCACATTGTTTTGTGGCTACCACCTGTATATAATTCCAAGTCAAGAAGATCTGACTCCCTTTTCTTGCCTCCCCAGATAATAGAAACATGGGTGAATATATACATACAAAAAGATGCAGATATGAAGTGACTCTTAATAAAACCAATATGCCCTTTGAACCCTTTTTGGAGCTTCCATCAGCCATAGACTGATGTCCACAAGAAAGAGCCATTGAGTACTTTCTCTGTTCCAATCCAAGCACTCTGGCAGATTCAGGGGATTATTATCATGAATAATTGATTAATGCATAGTATAAATCATTTATAAAAGAGTATTGGAAAGTGAAGTGTGCCTGTGCATGTCTGCAATTAATGTTCTTTGGAAATCAGAGGAAGAAGATAAGTTCAAAGTTATTTTTACCTACACAGCAACGTTGGGGCCTGTCTTCTTCTCATGATTCTGTATCCCCTAAAAGAGGGAGATAGAATAACAAATTTTGTTTCTAGTAGAGCCTGAGAAGCTGATAGAGTTCCTTTGGGTCCATTTAATGGTGGAAGGGGGTACCTGAGATTAAAAGGTTGTGCTCTTGCCTGCATAAACTAGTCTTAGGATATGCATATGAAGATAATATTTACATATATGAGTATACATAAATAAGAACAGTAATCCAGCCAGGTGGTGTTGGTGCACGTCTTTAATCCCAGCACTTGGGAGTCAGAGGCAGGCGGATCTCTGTGAGTTTGAGGCCAGCCTGGGCTACAGAGTGAGTTCCAGGAAAGGCACAAAGCTACACAGAAAAAAACGCTGTCTCGAAAAACCAAAAAAAAAAAAAAAAAAGAAAAGAAAAACAGTAATCCATTGGTATTTGGAAAATGTTGTATTAAATTAACTGACAAGCCATATAAAGACAATGGAAACTGAGTGAGTTTCATTCTCCTATCATTGTGTTGAAGGTGATTTATCTCATCAGAAATCCCAGAGATGTTCTAGTGTCAGGCTATCACTTTTGGCGTGCCACAACATATATTAAGAGACCAGAATCACTGGAAGAATACTTTGAAAATTTCCTTCAAGGGAAAGGTGAGTGTGCAATGCAGTGTTAATCTGGGAAGTCTGGGCTCTCTATGATCCTCCTGGGTTCCTTTCAATCTTTATGTCCCAGAAGATTGTGGGCCTCAACAACACTGGGGAGTAGATCAGCTAAGCAGCAGGACTTCAACCTTATCCCATGACTAAAGTGTCCAGGGGTTTCTAAATCACTAGATCTTTCATAGTACACAGGAACCCACACATGCCAAGTAAGTCTCCTTTCATTAGTTCCTTCTCCAGCCTTCCTTCTACTTTTTCTTTGAAGACAGGGTCTCACTAATTTCCTCAGCCTGGACTTGAGCTCACTATATATCTACTACATTTATCAGATAAGTTGCAAGAGGGAATATAAGGCCACTGCAACCAACATCTACTGTTTCATCCAGTAGATTGTTTGCTCACTCTGTTGCTGAAGAAGAGCAACATGTAAAATACAGATTATATATGGGCTTCTGAGATGGCTCACTGTTAAGAGTGCTTGCCAGAGAACCAAAAGAGCCGGAGAGCACAATCCACTACCCACATAACAATCTGGGAACAGTTTTCTTTTTTTATTTATTTTATTAAATTTTGTATTAATTTTACATACCAACCACAGAGCTTCCTCTACTAGAGTGTGGGGTTTGATGTGCAATTTAAGCTTCAGTAATGTTTCTTTTACAAATGTGGTGTGCCCTTGTTTGGGGGGTATAAATGTTCAGAATTGAGACTTCATCTTGGTGGATTTCCTGTGATAAATATGTAATGACCTTCCCAATCTCTTTTGATTGATTTTAGTTTGAAGTCTGTTTTACTAGATGTTAGGATACTACACAAGCTTGCTTCTTAAGTCCATTTAATTGGAAAGTCTTTCACCAGCCTTTTACTCTGAGGTAGTATCTGTCTTTGAAGTTGAGGTGTGTATCTTGTATGCAGCAGAAGAATGGATTCTGTTTTCACATTCATTCTGTTAGCCTATGTCTTTTTATAGGTGAATTGTTAATTCAGTTAAACCAGTGATTGTTAGTTCCTGTTATATTTTGGTGGTAGTGTTGTGTGTTTCCCTTCTTTTATATTTGTTGCTGTGGGATTATCTATTGCCTATGTTTTCATGGATGTATCTGACTTCCTTAGGTTGGATTTTTCCTTCTAGTCCTTTCTGTAGTGCTGGATTTGTGGACAGGTATTGTTTAAATCTGGTTTTATCATGGAATATTTTGTTTACTCTGCCTGTGGTGATTGAGAGTTTTGCTGGGTATAATAGTCTGGGTTGGCATACATGGTCTCTTAGTATCTGCATAACATCTGTCCAGGACCTTCTGGATTTAAGAGTCTTCATTGAGAAGTCATGTATTATTCTTATGGGTCTGCCTTTATATGATACTTGGCCTTTTTCCTTTGCAGCTCTTAATATTTTTTCTTTATTCTGTATGTTTAGTGGTTTGATTATTATGTGGCAATGGGGACTTTTTTATTGGTTCCAGTCCAGTCTGTTTGGTGTTCTGTAAGCTTCTTGCATCTTCATAGGTGTTTGCTTTTTTAGGTTGGGAAAGTTTTCTCCTATGATTTTGTTGAATATATTTTCTGTGCCTTTGAGTTGGTATTCTTCTCTTTCTTCTATCCCTATTATTCTTAGATTGTTGTGTTCATGGTGTACCAGATTTTGTGTTATGACTTTCTTGGCTTTAGTGTTTTCTTTGACTGATGAATCTAGTTCCTCTATCAAATCTTCCTCTCTTCTGCCTCTTGTATTCTGTTGGTTATGCCTGCATCTGTAGTTCCTGCTCATTTATTCAGATTTTCCACTTCCAGCATTCCCTCAATTTTTGTCTTTTTTATTGCCTCTATTTCAGTTTTCAAATCTTGAGTTGTTTCCTTCATCTGTTTAATTGCTTTATCTTGGCTTTCTTTAAGGGATTTGTTGATTTCTTCCAATTTTTATTTGTCTTTTCCTCAATTTCTTTAAGAGAATTTTTCTGCAATTTTATGCTTTCATTAATACCACTAGTTTCTGATGGTGCCATGTTGGTGTTTATGTTGTTGACTCTGTTTTTGCACTGGTGTCTACCCATATCTTCCTCCACTAGGTGCAAGCAGTGTCTGTGTCTGAGGGAGCCTCTCTTGGTCCAATTGATACTCTTGGTCCAATGGGAGCTCTTGGTCTATTCGGGGCTCTTGGTCCAATGGGTGCTGGTGGACTCTGTGTCTCAGGGAGCAGCTCTTAGTCTAATCATCACTAATGGGCTCTGTCTCAGGAAGCAGCTATTTCCAATCAGTGCATGGTATTCTTATGGCTCTGGTGGTGAATACTGCTGCAGGGGATGATTAGTTTGGCAAGTGGGGTAGAAGAAGAATCTGCTGCCCAGTCTCAAAAGGCTGCCCTGGATGGGGCCAGGGTGAGGGGTATGGAATGTTCTCCCAGGATCTAGGGCTTAGAGAACTGGTCCGCCTAGTCCGAGATCGGACGTTACCTGTTCCCATTTGGTGAAAGGTGGGCTTATGTGTCCAGTGGTCACTGGTGTTGCTGGGGATAGTTGTCTTGGCAAGGGGGTGGGGGAAGAGGCAGCTGCCTGGTCCCTGGGGCTCCAATGCCTGGTGGGAGGGGCACAGAATGTGCTCCCAGGGCCTAGATCTGCTCAGTCTGGTGATCAGGCCTTACCTGTTCCTAATTTGTTCAAGGTAGGCTTATGGGTCTGGTCGGGAATAGTTTTCTTTAGACCAGTAAAGTGGAGCTTTAGGATCAGTGAGCTGAGACAAGATGATTTCTGAAAATATAAGTAACTTTTCTTTCAGGGTGATGAAATAGTATGACCACAGCTATTTATAGAAGAAAGTTTATATTGGCTAATGTTTCCATTGAAATAAAAGTTCATCAAGCAGCATAAGAGGGATGGAAACAGTAGCAAGAAGTTTAGAGCTTACTTCCTTTACCATAAACACAAAACAGAGAGAATGAACAGGGAATGGCTTGAGATTTTGAAACTTCAAAGCCCAACCCCGGTGTCATTCTTTCTCCATTAAGTAATATCACCTATGTCTACTCAAAGAGAGCCACCAAAAATCTGAGAGTATATGTCAAATCACATTCAAACCACCATGTGGGTATTGGGGTTACCAGCTTTGCTGAAATTTCTAAGTCTTGAAGTAGGGAAAGACAACTCCACAGAGGAGAAATTCAGATATCAACAAACAACTTTCTCCTCTGGCATCTGAACCTGTGTACCTGTGTAAGCACACCCATGCACACAGGCCCACAGATGCATCAATATATCATACAAATATACATCAAGAATTAGGTAACAATAATTTATATAGAAAGAAACACAAAAATTAATATATTCTAGGTAAACATTTAGATTAGAACTAGTTGTAGTAATTTGGCCACTTGGTCTAATGACCAATAGAATGGAGCAGGTTGGCCTGATGGGCATGGTTTCCTCTGAAGATACTTGATGCTTTAAGAATCTTGAGGGAAGGGTCACGTGGCCACTTGGATGGTTGAAGATTTCCAGACAACAGGGCTCAGTGATTCAGTGCACACCTTTTCCCATCCCTCCTTGGTAAACAAAGAGGCAGGGATGCCACTGCATTCTATACCATGAATGTGTTATGTCAGATTTATCCTTTGAAAATAAGTCCTGATCCAAGACTTCTGTGGACTGCCACTTTAACCAGACATATCTGAGGACACTTTATGTGTTAAAGATCTAGACTAGCAAGAAACAAATGATGTGTCAGAAGAAATGCCTCAGCAGTGAAGACTGATGTCTGCTCTTTTAGAGGATATAAATACAGAGCCCAGAACCAATGTCAGGTAGTGCACACCCTCATGTAACTCCAGCTGGTCCCCTTCAGATGTGCCTCATAGCCCTTGTAACACAGGACTGGAGAAAAAGATACTATACACCAAAAAAATTGTTTTTGCCAGACTAAGATGAAATTGGCAAGTTTGAGGAGTAAGTAAAATGATGATGAGTTAGGAATCATGAATTTTACATTAAATATTGACATTTGTAATTTCAGAGTACCCTTAACTTACTGTAAATATGCACAGGTTTTTTTTGTCAATTACTGGCTAGGACTGTGGGGGTGATGAAGATTAAGAAAGCTTATAAGGATGCTCCCTGATTTCTTTTTAGCTATCCACATTTACATACTTATTCATTTTGTGTATGTGTGTGTGTGTGTGTGTATGTGCAAACACATGCTACACCTGTGCATGGAGATCAGAGGACGCCATGATGGATTGTTATTGTTTGTATCTACTAGGTTAGAGGAATCAAAGTCATATCATGAGTCTTGCCAATCATTTCATGTAATTTAGCTGGCCATCCAGCTGGCCATGGACTATTGCATTTATCCTCTTAATCTTCACTTTCTGTTGTACTCCACATAGTGCCATTTGGATCATGGTTTGAGCACATTCGTGGATGGATGTCCCAGAGAGAGAGAGATAACTTCCTGTTGTTGAGTTATGAAGAACTGAAAAAGGTAAACATCATTCCTATAGTCACATACAGCCTCTCAGCACTTCAATCCATGTAACACCTCCTATCCTCAGTGTCCCTTTCCACCTGCTCTGTCAATTTTAGGCTCAAAGACAATCCTAAAAAGTGAACTTTGCTTCCTCCATTTTCTTGCTCCTGGATGGCCATTTCCAAGTTCTGGGCTCACCCTTTCAGAAAATTTCTTCCATTAAAATATATGTTCGCTGGGCTGTGGTGGCACACGCCTTTAATCCCAACACTCGGAAGGCAGAGCCAGGTGAATCTCTGTGAGTTTGAGGCCAGTCTGTTCTACAGAGTGAGATCCAGGACAGGCACCAAAACTGCATAACTGGATTATGGGAACCAAATACAGTATTCTATAACCGCTGTATGTGCTGATCCACCTCTTAACACACTCACTCTGTTAAAAGTTATTAATGTTTGTGTGTGTGTTTCTGCATGTGTGTGTATGCATGTCTGTATGTTTGTGTGCAAATGTGTATGTATGTGTGTACATGTGTATTTGTGTGCATATATGTTTCCATGTGTATATGCATGTGTATATATGTTTATGTGTTAGTGTGTATAGTTTCTCATGGTTTTATGTATGTACCCATATGCCTGTCTTCATGGTGCACATGCAGAGATCAGAGGATGATTGGGGAAACCTTTTCCCTTTCTGCTTCTCCTTCATTCCTGAACCATCTCAGTATACACATTCCTTGCTTCCTTCCCTCTGCTGTCCCTCTTTCTCTGAATTATTTGGTCTTTTTACACCTAACTTCTTGTCTATATTGTCTTTCATGTTCATATCATCACTAGTACTTTTGTTTTCCTTTAGGACACAAGAAACGCCATCAAAGATATCTGTGAATTCCTAGGAGAGACGTTGAAACCAGAGGAACTAGAGTTAGTATTGAAGAACAGCTCCTTCGATGTCATGAAAGAACACAGGAGAGATAAGGACAGCTTTCTAAGTAAAAATGAAACACATTTCTTAATGATGAGAAAAGGTAGAGACATGGTGTAGTTCTTATATGCAACTGAATACTTGAAGGCTTTCTTGTTATTGGAAAAGAATGCTAAGAATTAAGATGTTTGTATATGTCAACTTATTTAATTTACTTATTTCTATTCACATGTAAGTGTGGTGTGTGTGTATGTTCAAATGTATGTGTAGATGTGTTTTTGGAGGTCTGAAGTTTTGTTCATGGGATATGTACAGTTTTCAGTTATTTGGATTTAGAATATTAGGCATCGGTGCAGGAATATTACCCAAATAAATTAGGAGACATGCTGTTTCTTTGGGACTATCACAAGATGTAGCCTAAGCTTCTCCTCCATTTTTTTCTAGGCATCACTGGAGACTGGAAATGTCACTTCACTGTAGCCCAAGCTGAAGAGTTCCATAAAATATTCCAGGAGAAGATGGCAGATTTTCCAAAAGAGCTGTTCCCATGGGAATAATGTTAAGAACTCTCCAAATTTTGTAGAGATATTTTATATGTTTTGTTGTCTTTCAACTTGTGTATGGCTTAGGATCATAGCATAAAACCTACTGTTTCATCCAGATCCATTAATTATCAAATCTTGAGTTGGTGAGATGGCTCAGTAGGTAAAGGCATGCTGACCAATTCTGTGTACATAAATTCAATCTTGACAGCAACATGATTGGAGAGAACCAACAAGATGAAGTGGTCCTCTAATTTCGGTAGATACACTAAGATGGCACTCCCTACAAAATAAATAAATTAATGTAAACTTAAAATATTATTGGTATTTCAATAATGATGAAAGAATGATACAATTATTAGTCCTAATTGCTTCAAAAAATTAGACAAGAAATAAAATAGAGAGGAAATGAAGGTGTTTTTCTACTCATTCACACATGATTTTACAACGTTTGTTGAATGCTCTTCTGAGGGACGTAAGTCTCTCAGTTACTTTTATTCTCTTACTCTGTGATTTTTGAGATCAGCATGCATTTTGACAGAGAATTGGCAGAGACAATCCATGCACTCCTGTTGGTAGAGATCCAGGAGGATCAATGGGGATGACCCTGTCTTCCTACAGAGGGGACACGTTTGTACTCCATATTGAGAAAAGGATTTGGCACATGCAACTTAACAGCTTCCCATGTGCACACCAGTAGTGAGTTGTATGAGGCTTACACTTTAGTTTTTGAGTAGAGTATTCAGGGGCAAAAGTATTGGGGGACCAGTAGGAGATGTGGCCATCTTGGAAAAGAAGTCACTGGCTGTTGGCTTAATGTTTTAAAAGGCTAGTGTCAATAAGTTTCCTCGCTCTCTGACTTGTTGTTGGATATGAAGACATGAGCTCTCAACTGTCCCTACTGTCTTTCATCAGTTTTTCTAACACTTGTTACATCAGCCAAATTATATCCTCTCTTATATAACTTGCTTGGTCATGCTGTTTTACCTCAGCAATAAAGATTAACTGAAAAAATTACCCAGTTACAGAATCAATGTAAATTTGTGGCAGATAAATAGAAAAATAAAATACAATATTTTTATCTATCTATCTATATATCTATTGGTTATTTACCTATGATTAATTCATTCATCCATCTTCCTTTCCATCCATGAGTCAACCAAAATCTCGGGAGATTGCAGAGCAGTGACACTGATACCTTCAGACAAATTACCAGTATATTGTCTCAAAAATTGTTATAAATAATAATTGAGTATGAATCAATTGTATAGCAATGCCCATCATATGTGGGGACATGAGATCCATTCACACAATGAAAAAAAATCAGCTACCACCTGCTACCCAGGCATCTTCTGTCTTAGCTAGCAATAGGACTCATATTGCTGACACACCCACAGAAATCACCCTCACACTTGCTACCCTCTGTTGGGTATTTTGAAACACAGACTTGTATTCTTGGCTTCCTCTTCCTTCCTCTGTGAGTGCTTTGGTTCAAAAAGTCTGTTAAATGTTCACCTGAAGAGTTACTCATCTAATAATAAAATGAATAAATTAAAAATCCAAGTGAAATTCTGGGTTATGGAACAAGAAACAAAATTAGAGTAAATCAGGCTGGAAGCTGAGGCTGAGTGTCCTATCACCCACATAAAGAAAAATAAAAGTTCAATTATATGCAGTAGATTGTGTCTTTAAGAACATACCTTACCACAGACTAATTTCACAGGGCAACTTGCCATTCATTACCTTACAATGAAGTGTTCAAATTTATATGTGAAATTACCTTTCTTATCCACTTGACACCTTTCTTCTTTGTGAGACCTTATCAATCCATAAATAAAAAGATAAATTAATTCAGAGAAAGTGTTCATTGTACAATGCCATTCCTAGCATCTGTTGCTGAGGTCTTACTGAAGATAAACAAGATGCTATATACAATGTCCTTAGTCTGACTGCTATCTGGTTTCCTTTCTATTGCTGTGATAAAATTCCTGACAGCAACAAAGAGGGGGAGTTATCAGGCTATAATTCCATGTTACAATTCATCATTATAGGGGGAGAATCTAAAATAGCTAGTCATATTTGGAAGCAAGAGGAAGGCAAAATGTATGAATAAATTGATGTTTGCTGCTCAGCATGTTTTCAATTGCTCTATGCAGTCCTGGATCGCAACTCCAAAACTGGTGCCACCTACTTTCAGGATCAATCTTCTATCATCAATTAATGTGATCTACATCATCTCAAGTAGGCATCCCTATGGGATACACTGATCTACAAAATTCCACATTCTTCTCTCCATGTCATTCCAGATAATGTTATCCTGACAATTAAAATTAACCACCACTGAATAAGCCCCTTTCTACACATGGTTGTTTCTTATTTTATTGCACTTCATTTTACTGTATTACCAGATCTTGATTTTTATGATTTTAAAACATGTTCCTGTCAATGCCCAAGTAAATAACTCTGTGGACAATTATTTTCCACATAATTAACATTTATATTAGAAATTTATGACAATGTATTTTTAAAAAAGTGAAGGATGATTATAGACAATGCTGCTGCATAACAGATGAACAGTGTAAACTTGTCTTTTACATGCTCCAGGAATCAGAATCTTGTGACCACTTATATTACAGCATTGGCATTATTGTAATGTTCTTACAATGACATACTATGTCTCCATGGCTGTCCTGAAACCGGAGTATTGCTTGTTTTGCTTCTATTGTCAGTTTTCTAGTAGAAATACAACACCGTTTTTTCATCAAGCTTGGTTCAAGGACTTATCACCCAAGCCCAAATCTAATGCCAGCTTACAGAGCAAACCCAGGTTTGTCTACAGTCACTGGATGAATGATCTCTGGCATGAATGTTTTTATTTCACCTTGGGGAAAGAGGGGGACTAAATTACAGGATACTCAAACTTTTGGATTCATAGATAAAACTGAATTGGAACACAATAATTCTTGTGCATTTCTGTCTGATTGCTGGCTACTATTGCAGTGAAGTTGAAATAACAGGGTATTCTGAAAGGGACTGGATTTTCCAACTGAGATAACCTTAAGGCTTCTGCCATCAGAGAGCTCACTGAGAGACAACATCTTCAGGATTTTAATGGTATTTCTTCTTCATGGGAATAGTCTCATTATCTAAAAGTCTAAAACAGAATCTTCCTATTATTATCAATATCACAATGGAAGAATTGAATATTCTTATGGACTGCATGGCTTGCTAAGGTTTTACTTGTTATTAGTTCCTTGATGAGAAATGCTTTACCACCTCTAATACACATCATAAGCTGACATTTGAGCTTCCACTATTCATCCAAGACATCCCTTATAATATTCAGGACTTGGTTCATTCTGGATGATCTGACTTTACATGGGTACATTATTCTCATTTCCATTTTATTATAATTGCTGATTCATTAGAACCACTTCAGGTTAAAAACACTGCTTTGCTGGATACTGTTGTTTATATGAACTTTTGGAAAGACAATGTCCTGGGACAGTATCTCTAGAGAGAGGGTGAAAGTGGGGGAAAATACACCCTACAGCTCAAATATTGGTGAATCCATTGCTGATCATGTTTTTTCTTTTCTTTTACATAATAAGTTTTGTTTTATTATTTATGTGTTCATGTTTTTTTCATAACTTTTTACATTTGTGAAGATGCCCACACAGTCCAGAAGAGTGCATTTAATCCCCTGGAGTAATAAGAGTAAAATAGCAATAGAAAATCAATGTGTATGTAACTGTTCATATGTCCACCTCACTGCCTGTGTCACAGTTGGTGTCCTATCATTCTCACAGAAAAGCATATCTATCCTCTCTCTCTGTCCTGCATGTGAAGAACAAAAATAAGCACATATCTAAGGAAGGTTTGCACCAACCCAGATCTGCCCACAAGACAGAATTATTCGCCTTTAATAAGTTAGCCTTGAACAGTGATGTGCATTGTTTTCCAAAGTCCCAATTTCAGTTTTCTTCCTATGGTCTAATATAAAGTCTCCAGCTTTAAATTGTTTAATAGGTTGTTAAATACAATCCTTTATATGCTTTTGAGAATTTCCTACATAAATATTGTAGTTGTGGCGCTCTCTTTTGCCACTTGTATACTTCTTCTGTTATCCAACTCTCTCAATTTCAGAACTTCCTCTTACTTAATTATTGCTGCATACATATTATACCTCTGTCTATCTATCTATCTATCTATCTATCTATCTATCTATCTATCTATCTAGCATCTATCTATGTATCTGTCTATGTATCTATGTATCTATGTATCTATCTATGTATCTATCTATCTATCTACACATACACATATATACCTGTATCTAAATATACAATGTTATATTTGTATTTATATATAGATATATAAATATATTTATATAAATATATAAATATTATATATAATATTATACATTATATATATACATATACATTCATATGGTGATTTGAAAGAAAATGTTCCTCACAGACAGTGGTGCTATGAGAAATTGTGGGGTTTTTTTTTTTAGTAGGTATGGCCTTGTTAGAGAAATTATGTTATTCTGGCAGTCGGCTTTGAGGTCTTATTATTGGTTATAAACGATTGGCCTTATCTTATGATTGTCCCCCTATCTCCTATACCTTATTTAAACCTTGTTCTCTTCATCTACATTTTGCCTAAGGGTTTTTTTACCCATGTTTCATTCTATACATACTTTTGTGCTTCCTTCATCTGTGTCTGGCCAGCTGGCAGCTGCCTTGCTGGCCTGGGCATTACCTTCTTTTTCTCCCTCATTCTCTTTTCTCCTTTGAGCCTAGATTCCTCCTCCTACTTATTCTGTCTGCCTGGAAGCCTTGTCAATGCCTCTACTGCCTAGATATTTGCTCTTCAGCTTTTTATTAAACCAGTCAGGTACATTAGGCAGGCAAGGTGAAACAAATGCAACACATCTTTACATAGTTAAAAATTATTCTGCAACACAAACAAATGCAACACATCTTTACATAATTAAACATTCTATCCCAAAATACAGATTAGCAGACTTCAAACTCTAGTGTTCAGTAGATTATTATAATTTTCTTATCTTTGTAGTTAAGAAGCCAGTATTAGTTTACAGATACATTGTGCCCTGTGCGTGAATCACCCAAGGCAGAGTTTCTCATAGGAGAAGCAGCTTGTCATTTCATTAGTGCTCAAATCATAGGTATTGTTCTACAATCATGGCTCATATGTAACCACTGTTTCTTGCTGTGTCTGTCTATTGTGATCACAACCACATTATTCTACCATGTCAGTGATAGAAGTTTACTAGAAGGGATCAGAGATATCCAGGTTCTAAGCTCACAAAGCTCCTTGTTAGTTTGAACATTTGAAGTGGCTCAGCCATGGAATCTAAAACTATTTAATGCTTAATCTACAAATTCAAAGAGAAAATGATCTCTCTTGAAAATGTCACAATGAACTGGTGAACATTCACCAATTTGCACGTATTTTATTTATACTTAATAAATGCTTGACTGCTGACATTAAGGCCTAAAGAGCTCTAAAATAATGTCAAAAAGGGCATGGATACAAAACATAAAATTCCTTTTATTGAAAATACTTATTTTTAATTTATATTTCTTTAATTTCTTAAGATTGTAATTACATCATTTCCCATTTCCCTTTCCTCCCTCCAAACCTTCCCATATATGCCTTGTTTCTCTCTTTCAAATTTATGGCTTTTTACCTTTTATCTCTTGTTACAAACATATATGTATATTAGTGTTTGTCCCTGAAACCTTATGTATAACCTACTCAGTCTGTTCAATGTTATTTGTATGTATGTTTTCAGGGCTGAACATTGAGTATTGGAAAAATAAAACCTTGTTGTGCTTTTCCCAGGGGAAGTCTATTTTTACTACTCTCAGGATTATTTATTTGCCTGTACATCTTTGTGTTCACCACTATGGAATGAAACATTGGCTTTAAGTTTTTCATCATGATTCTTTTGAAAGTTATATTTGTAGTTACAGTTACAGAAACTGATCAGTTTGTCCTTTTGCAGACAGATTTAGTATAGTCCTTATCACCCTGGTTATATAAGATGTTCTTTTATATTGGGTGGCTGGTCTGTCTAAATGTAAGATACTGATCTTTAAAACTGTTGAATCAGTTCTGTTTTTTATTAGTTTGTTACTGTTTTGTTTTGTTTACATGATTAGTTACCTCAGTCATTTTGCAGTTCCATTTTTGTAAATAAAATGAAAGTATAAAGAAGGAATTGGCCTATTTGCATTATATATATATATATATATATATATATATATATGTATGTATATGTATATATATATATATATATATATGTTGTTCAAATAAAACTAATAAATATTTTCAAATATCCCATTAATGGCCCACTAATCTCTCTTCTTCTGTTCCCACATTTGCTGATCCTTTTAAACTCCCAAGTAGCTCCCCTTTCTTCTTTCATGTTCCTTTTATTATGTGTGTTTGTGACTCAAGAAGTTCCATTGGTGTTGCTACAGGAGCAGAAAGGAAGAGTCATTTACAGGAACATGGTCAACATATCATTGTCTACTCTAATGAAAAGTTACCTCTTGTACACTAGCAACCAGTAACTACCTAGAAACCTAGGAAGGATAGGGTATCATGAGCCCTTCCCCAAACTTCTGTTGACTATTATTGCTCAAAGAATAGGTGGAAGTTTGGTAGCACCTCCCCACTATATGAGAGGTTATTGATAGGTCCAATTTTGTCCATGCCTTGTGCAGTAATCACAGATACTGTAAGTTCAAGTGGGATATGGCCATGTCATGTCTAAAAGATAATACTCCACATCATTCTACCTCATCTTCAGGCTAGTACATCATTTCTATACTTTCTTCATTGATAATTCCTAGACATGGATGTGGGGGAAATGTTTCATTTACTGTGAACATTGAACAGGTACTAATTCTCAGCACTTTGTCAAGTTTTGAGTATCATTAATTACCACTGCTCGTCCAAGGCTCAGACGGACAGGGACACTGGTGAGGAGAAGCCGCCTGCTGAGAAAGAGCTGGCGAGTGAAGACATTAAGAAGCCACCCCAGCCTCAAGAGGGGACGAAGTCTAGCCAGAGAGACCCGACACTGTATCTGTTTGGGAGAACTGGCCGGGAAAAAGAGGAATGGTTTAGGAGGTTCGTCCTGGCGTCCAAACTGAAGTCAGACCTCAAGAAGCTGCCTGGGGTTTCTGGAAGTAAATCAGGGCTTTTGCCCACCCACAGCAGACACGGCAGCCCCTCGGGGCACCTGACCCATAGCCGAAGCAGCAGCAAAGGCAGCGTGGAGGAGATGATGTCCCAGCCCAAGCAGAAGGAGCTGGTGGGCAGCGTGCGGCAGAAGGTGCTCCTGGACTACAGCGTGTACATGGGCAGGTGTGTGCCCCAGGATGAGCGAAGCCCCCACAGGAGCCCTGTGCAGAGTGCGGAGAGCAGCCCCACAGCTGGGAAGAAGTTGCCGGAGGCCCCACCCTCTGAGGAGGAAGAGCAAGAAGCCTGGGTGAATGCCTTGCTTGGAAGAATATTTTGGGACTTCTTAGGCGAGAAATACTGGTCTGATCTGGTGTCAAAGAAAATCCAGATGAAACTCAGCAAAATTAAGCTCCCCTACTTTATGAATGAGCTAACACTGACAGAACTTGACATGGGTGTGGCTGTGCCAAAAATCCTTCAGGCCTTCAAGCCTTATGTTGATCACCAAGGACTCTGGATCGATTTCGAAATGTCTTACAACGGGTCCTTTCTGATGACTCTCGAGACCAAAATGAACTTGACCAAACTAGGTAAAGAGCCTCTTGTTGAAGCCCTGAAGGTTGGAGAAATTGGCAAAGAAGGTTGCAGGCCCAGGGTGTACTGTCTGGCCGACAGTGATGAAGAATCCTCCAGTGCCGGCTCCTCTGAGGAAGATGATGCACCAGAGCCCAGTGCTGGAGACAAACAGCTGCTCCCTGGGGCTGAAGGGTATGTTGGAGGTCATCGAACAAGTAAAATTATGAGGTTTGTTGATAAAATTACCAAGTCAAAATATTTCCAAAAAGCAACGGAGACAGAGTTCATCAAAAAGAAGATTGAAGAAGTCTCTAATACACCCCTGCTGCTAACCGTGGAAGTGCAAGAATGTCGAGGGACCTTGGCGGTCAACATTCCACCACCCCCGACGGACCGCATATGGTATGGTTTCCGGAAGCCACCGTACGTGGAGCTGAAAGCTCGGCCAAAGCTTGGAGAGAGAGAAGTGACTTTGGTTCATGTGACGGAGTGGATAGAGAAGAAACTGGAGCAAGAGTTTCAGAAAGTTTTTGTCATGCCAAACATGGATGATGTTTATATCCCTATAATGCACTCGGCCATGGACCCTCGCTCCACTTCCTGCCTCCTGAAAGACCCCCCTGTGGAGGCCTCTGACCAGCTGTGATGGGTGAAAAATGGGACATTCCCAGTATGAGACCTAGCTTGAGGTGTGGGGTTTGTGGCTGCCATCTGTGCTGTGGGGCTGGCCTTTACTGGTCCACAGCCACTGTCTCTTAAAGGACTGCTTCTGCCCTCTGCCTGCGGTGCCCATTCCACTGTGAGGTGGCGTTCCCTGCACCCAGTGACTGGTGTCTGGTTGTCTGTTGCAAAGCTTGGACTGGCAAAGGAGACTGGAAGAACCATCGTGGCGGAGCCAGAAGTTACAGCTGACTAACACCGTGGCTTGCTTTTTTTTTTTTTTTTTTTTTCTTTTTGAAGTCTACCAGGTTTTGTGGCAGCAAGAGTACATTTGGATCAAGCTGTACAACTGGAAGCCTCCCCCTTGCCTCTTGATTCCTCCAAAGCTTTTCCTCAGGCAGCTGGTGCACAATGGAACACTTTTCCACTCTACACTTTGTACCATGATTGCAGCCCTCCACACTTGAAGAATGTCACTGTGGTAACCTGTGTGGAGTGTGGTTTTGTGAGCCATTTCATTGGTGGTAAAGATAGGCATAGCAACTCTTTTTCATATTAAATTGTGCATTTTTGGAAGCAAGTAGCCATAGGACACACACCCACAAACACACTTTCAGCTGGGGCGGGGACAGAGGGTTTCATGTGAACATCAGGCAAAGCCATGAGATCAAACCATCCCAAATGAGGTACAATCGCCTTGCTTCTAATCAATCCTGATAATTCCCCGGAGACATGAGCATGTGTGACAATATCACACACTGCACACAATGACTGATTGTTCCTCCCTGGTACTGATGGAATGGGGCCAGAAAGCCGGAGCCAAGCTGTTCTTTTCTGGTTTCCTGTGTGGGAGGGGAGGGCCTTACTCATCTAACTGGTTTGGGAGGTTTGTGGGCAGTCCCTTCTCTGATGGCCAGAGGAGGACTGTTTACTTCCTAGTCAGCGTCAAGCACTACATTTCCACGTGCACTTGTGACCTTTCTTTAATGTTGCCAACTTAAGTTTGTGCATTGTGTCAGAATGTTTAGTTTACAAATTGGGGCTCTAATTGCATAATTTGCTTTGAGAAGACCTAATACAATTTTGTTCAAAGCTGCATCCAATATCAAAATTACCTTGGGTAACTTTTGATAATTTAATGTCCGTGGACAGAGCTAATAGTGTTTTTTTTTTAAACAGCACCTTGCCTGAAGATGACTTTAAAGAAATTAATATATTAAAAAATTATATTTGAACCTTTGATTATTTTAATCATCCCATTAAAACACGACAAATTATTTGATCATTCCAGTCAGTGTAGTGCCCTAATTACTCAATGTATAGGCCAGTTCGCCTATCAGTCCATTGTCTTGTTCACTGTTCTTTTTCTGTGCAGTAGCAACTGAAAGTGAAGGACTAGATAGAAGCACTACAGTGTAAAGAGACTACACGACTGTACCGTCGCACTTAAAATAGTATGTGGGGACTTACAATCGCATTGTTCACAAAATAAACATCTCATGTCAAACACCAAAAAAAAAAAAAACAAGAAAAAAAAACAAACAAACAAAAAAAAAACAAACAAAAAAAATTACCACTGCTCATTGAAAGAAGAATCTTCATTGACCATGATGATAGTAGTAGTATATAAGGACAAAGATAGCCATTGAGAAGACAAATTATTATATACATCATGCCCATTTACCAGAACAACAGCAATGGCTTTACCACTGGGACCTTTTTCTTCCTCTGTGTGGGCTTTTGACCATGTTGTCAGCACCAGATTTGAAGTTTTCTCATGTAGAATGGATCTCAATACCAATCAGGAAATCATTGGTTACTTCCGTACCATGATCACCATTATTTCACCAATGACCGTATCTTGTAAGGCTGAAGTATAGATCACATTTTCCAAAGTTGAGCAAGATTATTATCGGCAATCTTCCACAGGCAGCCTACATAACACCTTCTAAAACTATGAGGGCTTTTCAGTACATAGGAATATTTCAGTCAATCTCAGGTTTCTTTCTTTATATTTTGTGCCAAGTGTATAAGGAATCATTTAACAATCAGCTCTTACCAACTAGTTTTTTTGGAAAATTGAGAACAGTTACAATCGCCTATATTATTTGGATCCTCAGGCACTTTCCAGGAAGAAACTTCTAGGGTGGCCTCTAAATTCTAGCATTTGAGTTCTCATTTAATAGCCTATGATCTCTGGAAGCAGTATTTTCCACCCATGCAAAGTACCTTGACTTAAATTCTTTTACATTTTTTAAAGATCTTTACAACTAGTTAGTTTCAATAAGACATTTTTATACACCCTTGGTTTTAATTAATTCCACCACTCACCTTCCTACTCTGTTTGTGTAGACACTCTTACTGTCATATTCTCTTCCTCGATTTTCATATCACAGGTGTTCTATAACTTCCTTTCCCATAACATCATTAAGAATTTTTAGTACCCCTCTAATTGCTTGTTTCTAGCTTTCTGTGCTCTTTATGCACTTCAAGTTAGATGCAAGATGAATTTGGATAGAATACACATATGAGATAAGATATGTAATGAAACATATTTCCTGTTCCATACATTTCACTATGAATTAAAGAGTTTCATTTTTGTAGCTAAAGAAAATTCCATTTTAATATATTTTATAATTTAATTATCTATTATTTAGTTGATATGCAGCTAAGAACAACCAGTTTCAGAGACACTGCCAGCTGCTGCCATGACCAGCAGCATGTGAAGACACCGGTAACCCACCAGCCACGTGGCAAGTATTCTATTATAGCAACAGAAAATAGATTAAGCCACAAAGGATGATCTCCAGAGGATTTTACCTGAGGTAAATTACTTCACAACTTCATACTTTAAACTGGCTATATAAGAAGAGTACAGGAACAGGAAGGTAGACAGGCCCGGCGGCAGAGACAAGCAGACGCAGGTAGGCCTGCGGCGGGGGCCGGTGGAGGTAGACGGGCCCAGTGGCGGCAGCCGACAGGAATATTCAGACCCAGCGGCAGCCGGCAGAGACATTCAGGCCCAGCGGCGGCCCACAGAAGTAGACGGA